CTAAATATATCTAAGCATATAAAAGGCACAGTAAAAATACGGTATAAAGATAAAAAATGGTACACCTGTATAGGGCACTTACCATGAATGGAGCTTGCAGGACTGAAGTTGCTCCGGGTGAGTGAGTGAGTGAGTGGTGAGTGAAGGTGAGAGACTAGGACACTGTACACTGCTGCAGACTTGATAAACACTGTACACTTAGGCTACACGAAATTTATAAAAAAATATTCTTTCTTCAATAATAAACTATAGCTTACTGTAACTTTTTTATTTTGTAAACTTTTTAAACTTTTTGACTCTTTTGTAATAACACAGCTTAAAAAACAAACACATTGTATGGCTGTACAAAAATATTTTTCTTTTTCTTTTTAAATTTTCTTTCTTTATATCCTTATTCTATAAGCTTTTTTCTATTTAAGATTTTTTTTTTTTTTTTTTTACTTTTTAAACGTTTTTGTTATAAACTAAGACACACACACACTTTAGCCTAAGGCCTGCACAGGGACAGGATCATCAATAGCACTGTCTTCCATCTCCACATCTTGTCCCACTGGAAGGTCTTCAGGGGCAATAACACGCATGGAGCTGTCATCTCCTCTGATAACAATGCTGCCTTCTGGAACACCTCCTGAAGGATCTGCCTGAGGCTATTCTTGAGGAGGTGTCACTCTTTTCAGAAATACATCCATGGTGGTTTGCTTGGTTTGTTTCTTTTTCTCATCATAGATTTGCCTATAAGTGGATAATGCACCATGAACATTCCTCTCTATTAATGTAAACCTTTCGGTGCTACAGTTCACGTTTTCAAACTTTTTGAGGAGCTTGCTGAGATCTGCTAAAGCTTTTGCTAAACTTTCCACAGTAAATTTTTTTGGGAGTTGTTCTTTTTCTTCTTTTGCAGTTTCCTTTTCTCTTGCCTCTTCTTCAGCTATGAGTTCCTGTTCCAGTTCTAACAACTCTTTGTTAGTCAATTCCTCAGGAATCACCTTCAGGAGCTCCTCAATGGCACCCTCATCCATACCTAGGTTAAACTTGTTTTCTATCTTACCCACAGCCTTGTTGATTTTCTGGGTTTTTTTGCTGAGGAAGATTGGCCCTGAGCGAACATCCGTGCCAATCTTCCTCTTTTTTCTTGAGGGAGAATGTCCCTGAGCTAACATCTGTGCCAATCTTCCTTTATTTTGCACGTGAGACGCCACCACAGCATGGCTTGATGAGCGGTGTGTAGGTCTGTGCCCGGGATCCAAACCAGCAAACGCCAGGCTGCCGAAGCTGAGCACGTGAACTTAACTACTACACCAGCAGGCTGGTCTCAGCCCTAATTTTTGCAACATCCTCATCCTTGGCAAATCCTTTGAAGTCATGGACAAACCTCTCAGAGTGTCTTCTTCCACATGTCATTCATACACTCCTTGGTGACATCACCCCAAGCCCAAGCAAAGTTCTTGATGCAGTCACAGATGTTGTAATCCTTCAAGACTTGCATCAGTGTCTTCTCAGTGTCCTCCTCAGTTACAGCAATAGCCTGGGCAAAGGTTCTTTTCAGGCAGTAGGCCTTAAAAGCTGCTATAACTCCTTGATCCATTGGTTGGACCAAAGACAGGTGGTGTTTGGAGGGAGAAACACCACTTTGATATTGGGATGAAGATCACCAATACAAGGAGGATGTCTGGGAGCATTATTAACAATTAGCAAAATCTTGAAAGGTATGTTATTCTCCAAACAGTACTTCTCTACTTTGCTGACACAGCAATTCAGGAGGGTGTCTTGGAAGAGGAGCTGAGTCATCCATGACTTCTTATTGTTCCTATACTACCCTGGCAGTGTGTGCTTAGTGATATGCTTGAAGGCCCTGGGGTTCTCACTGTGCCAGATCACAAAGGGCTTCAATTTGTAGCCTGCAACATTGCCCCCAAGCAAGACTGTTATCATTGGAACCTGGCATTGACTTGGCCTCTTTATGGATTAAAATCCTTTCAGGCATCCATTTCTAGAATAGGGAGGTTTCAATCATTTTGAATATTTGCTCTGGCAAGTAATCTTCCTCCACAATCAGTTTATCAAGTGTTTCTAAAAATTTTTCAGCTGCCTTCACATCAGCACTCGCAGACTCACCACTTTCACATTACATAATGAATAAAAATTCGTGAATCGTTTAAACTACCCAGAGCCAGCAATAAATTCAACATCATAGTTGGGTCCAGCCTTTCTTTCAACACCGCAAACAAACTTTTTGCTTTGGCTGTGATCATCCCGGTGTTGAGAAGGATATGCTTCTGTGTCTGGTCTTCAGTTCAGGTCATTAGAAGTTTCTCCACGTCTGATACAGGCCCTTCTCAAATTAGTCTCATTGCCTTCAATGAAGCACACTCTTTAATGGCTTCCATCACTTTTTTCTTGTTTTTCAAGATTGTAGGTATGGTGGAATGGGACATGTCTGACTGGTGAGCAATAACCACTACTGATTTTCCACGTTTATAGTCCTTAATTACTTTTAATTTCATTTCCAAGTTAATCACTCAATGTGGCCTCTTACTGGCAACATGAGCAGCAGATTTTGTATGCTTAGAGGCCATGATGGACAAAACAACATGAGATCAAATCAAGCACAAGAGAAAATGATGTAATCAAGAGATGGTAAACACGAGATGTGTGAGGCTGCTGCTGGTGTAACATGGCATACTGTTTTATAATAACTTTCTTTTAATACAGAGTACACTCTAAAATAACGACAAAAAGTATAGTATATTAAATACATAAACCAGTAACATAGTCATTTATTATCACGTATTATGTACTGTACGTAATTGTACTGCTATACTTTTATACTACTGGCAGCGCAGTAGGTTTGTTTACACCAGCATCACCACAAATACATTGCTACAACATTACAACAGACGTCACTAGGCAATAAGAATTTTCCAGCTCCACTATAATCTTACGGGACCATCATCATACATGCAGTCTGTCGTTGACTGAAACATCGTTCTATAGTACATGATTGTACTTTCTCTTTTCATTCAATTATTCTCTACTGCTAACCACTCTTACTCATTTTTACTTTTATTTTTCTTTTCTACCTGTGCCTTAAGGCAACTTCAGGGTACTTCCTAGCATCACTGATTTAAAAAAGTGAAATAAAAATTTAACTTAATTTAACAATTAAGTGCCCACTGTGTTCCCAGACTTAGTTTTATACTATGGACACAAAAACCAAGAGAACTCACAAAGTAGTAGAAGAATCAGACAAAACCAATATATTGTGGTAAATCCTAGAGAACAAGTATAAAGTACTATGGGAAACAAATGAGTTTGTTGAATTGGGCAAGTACCTAAGAAACCAATAAATCCTATAGCTGTTGGTCATTTAGAATGTTTTAACATGTATTGTTATGCAGTTGTTCTAACTTTTGTGTAATATTAACAGAAAAATAACTGGTTGAAAAATTAAGTGTTGGGCAAGGGGGCATTACATAAAAGGACAAAATTTTAAAATGCCTAAAAGAACCAAAATCAAAGAACAATGCCAGGAATTCATTTTTGATCAAAATATTATTTCAATTTGGAAGGGGCAGGGTATATCCAGTCCATTCTATTTTATTAAGTGTGCTTTCTAGATAAAAGACTACGCCATAAACTAATTCTGTCATTCTCATCAATTTTCCCAAACTGACACCAAGTGGGGTAGCACGTTTAAGTCAAGAGGAATTGATTCTAAAACAAAAAAAGAAACCAAAAACATCCCAAAACAAGTTCTATGTTTGGGTCCAAGAAGCTACAGTTAGGTTTTAAGTTAAATGCAAACTGGTGAAGGAGGCAAGTTCAGAAAATGAAAAAGCTAAACTAAATTGTATTCACACAAGATGTATACCTATAAAAAATGTTGAGATGAGAACTTTGCCTATGCTTTTATTCTTTCTTATCAAAATAACATAATGGAACATGCCTTCCCAAAAAGCAGTAGGGGTACTTTTTAAAAATTAAGTTTCAGAAATAGTGAGTCTAGTGGAATAGCTAGAAGTAGCCAGATACACTCCTGCCAAATTAAAACATCAACCCAGTTTCTGCAAAGTTCCTTTCTGAATATTTTAACTGCTGATTTATATTATGCAGGAGGCACAAGAGATCTACAAAATGGCTGCTTAAGAAATGTGCTGATAGGGGCCGGCCCCGTGGCTTAGCGGTTAAGTGCACGTGCTCTGCTAATGGTGGCCCGGGTTCGGATCCCGGGCGCGCACCGACGCACCGCTTCTCCGGCCATGCTGAGGCCGCGTCCCACATACAGCAACCAGAAGATGTGCAACTACAACATACAACTATCTACTGGGGCTTTGGGGGAAAAAAAGGAGGAGGATTGGCAATAGATGTTAGCTCAGAGCTGGTCTTCCTCAGCAAAAAGAGGAGGATTAGCATGGATGTTAGCTCAGGGC